GCGTCCTCAAGTCTCTGAACTAACGGGGCAGGCGCGGAGCCGCTGCCGCGGGGGCTGCGCGCCGGGTTCGAGCGTCAGCCCACCCGACCGCCTGCCCCGAAATCCGAGGCTGTCGCTCTTGTCCGTGTCCCACCGTAGCGAGGAGCAAGGTCCCCTAGATGTGTCTCTCCGCTGGCACTCGCAGGGAGAAGGGCAGCTCTCCGGAGGGCTTTGGTAGCTCAGGTTGTACATCCAGACGTCGGTTAGCAGGTGAAGTCCTCAAAGGTGCCCCGGGCCGGGTGATGAGGTAGGATGTTGGCTGCGTACGTCATGCCTGCCGGGTGGCCCCGTATGCTTTCACAGGGATTCTGTGGGGCAGAGGCCAGACGGGACCCTGGGGTCACTGGTTTCCCCCAGCCCCCCCCCGCAGAGCGCGAGTCCTGTCGCCCCACAGCATCTCTGCCCGGTCCCTCTGCTCCTTTCCCAAGCGCTCCCCAAAAGAGCGACGCCCCCACCCCACCCCGTGACGTATCTGGGGCAGCCTCTGAGCTGCACGCGGGGACCGGCAGCTCCCGCGGCAAACCCGGCGCTTACGTGGCGTTTCACGTCGTCCATGCTCAGCGCGACGCCCTTGTCCGTGTTGTTCCTCTTGTGGTTCTTGCGGCACTTGCCCCGCCGGCACAGCCGGTGCTTTATCACCTGCCAGAGCCAGATTTCAGTACCGTGGGGGCTCGTGGGTGGCTCTTCCCCGTGTCCCACCTGAGCGTTTGGGTGCTCCAGGGTAACCTGGGGCAGAGACACTCACCTCGTAGGCGTAGTCGAACAGCTCCAGTACTGTGAGGATACTGGCCCCAATGAACAGCCCCATCTGCCCTCCGATGTCACCTGCACAGGAGAGGGAAGCCATCAGGGCCCCGGGGCAGAGGGAGCAGAGGAAGGGCAGAACTCGTCATGGCTATGGGGTGCCCCGCTCTGCAGCCACGCGGTCGGCACGTCCCTCAGGAGCGGGGCCACGGAGCACGGGACCACCGTGTCAGGGGGCACCGTCCGGGCGCTGCCGCAACCACCAACACTCACCCAGCAAGCCGGCCACCTCGTACGCCTTCTTCTGCTCGATCGTCTCATAGTTCAGGGCTTCAAAGAAGATATCCAGCACCAGGATGTTCTCCCTGTGCAGGACAGAAGCGGTGTCAGGTTGAGATTTGGGACGGAGGGATGAGCCGCCGCCCCGCCGCCGTGGCACCAGGACGTTACCCGATGTACTGCTCCGATTTGTTGTACTTCTTGGCCAGGTACTTGGCGGAGGCCTTGCTGGGGATCTTCACCATGGAGAGCTCTTTGCCGTAGCGCGTCACGTTGCAGGGCATCTCGCAGACGCAGTACTCGTTGTCCTTTTCCACCAGGAAATCTGGGCAGGGAGAGAAGGAGATGGAGAGATGGAGAAATCCAACCCCCACGGCTCGGTCCCGCAGGGCTGGGCAGCCTCACCTAAGGCCGGATCCGCGCACTCCTTGTACTGCTCCGGGGTGCAGTAAGGGGCATCGCCTGGAGGAGAGAGAAGGCGGGTTTTTGGGGGGGATCGTGGCGGTGGGCAGAGCCCGGCGGGCCCGGGCCTCACGGCGGGGCTCACCTGGCATGTGCACCATGCGGCAGTTGCAGTTCTCCACCAGGTAGCGGGTCTCGCAGTCGATGCGACAGGCCGTGATGCTGTAGGTGTCGTAAAACTCCGAGTCACCCGCCACGGCCTTGCAGTCGCCCCAGGGAGGCGGCAGGTAGATGAGCTGGGAGGGGGCAGAAGCCAGGAGTGAGGAGAGAAGCCCCCCGGCCCCCGGCAAGGGACAGACACGCTCGCTGCATCGGTCCCCAGGGCCGGGTCCCCTTCTCCGTCTGTCGTGGGGACAGGGAGGAGGCTCAGTGTCCCGCAGCAGGTCGAGCCCCCAGTGTGGGATAGGAGGGAGCAGCCCGGCCCCCCCCCCAGTCCCTACCCGCTGCTCCTGGCAGGACACGAAGGTCTGGAAGCCGGGAGCCACCCCGAAGCCCAGCTGGTCGATCAGCGGGGGCTCATCCTGGCTGTGGATCTGCACCTTGATCCCGGCTTCGAATGAGGTCTCGTCTGCGGCACAGAGAAGTGGGGTGAGCTGTACCCTGCTCTGCGAGAGGGACCAAAACTTCTCCTGTCTCCCACCCTTCCCCTGGGCAAATTCATCCATTCAGGTGTCCATCCATCCGACCATCTGTCCGTGTCCTTGTCCCCTCCGCCTCTGACCCTCCTGCTCCAGCACCCGGGGAGAGCAGCAGGGAAAGTGTTTGCCTCTATTTATAAACAAGCGATGGCTGCTTGTCTAAACCGATGGGGAGTTGCCATGGCGAAGAGCAAAGACAAGGAGGAAAAAAGGAAAGAAAAGGACTCGAAGTGATGAGAAATGGAAGGAGGGGAGAGGAGGGAGCTTGAGGGACGTGGTGGGGAGCTGGGAAGGGGCTGGGAAGCACCTCGGGAGCCGCATGGCAGAGCCGCTGGGGCGGTGCGTTACCTGTTTCCCCCCACACCGGCAGGTACTCGTCCTGCTGAATGTCCAGCATGATCTCCAGGCCGTTGCCGGTGCCCCCCTTCATGGTGATGAGCCGGGGCTTCCCGTCCTGCCCCGCGTTGAAGGTGTAGCACTTCCCGTAGCGGGTGAAAACCTGCGGCAGAAGACACGGGGCTGAGGCCGGGGCCCCGCTGCTGCTCCCGGCCCCGAAACACAACCGGGCCCAGCCTGGGGGTAGGATCCAGCCCAGGCTCCCGCCCTCCAGGTGCTTCTCCCTGTTGGAACTGTCTCCTCTTGGAAGCGGAGGAGCAGATGTTCCCCACCGAGGCACGGGGATGGCGCAGGCTCGGAGGAGACACTTTGCAGCGCCTCGACCCCGCGGCAGCCCCGGCTCCCCGAGCCGGCGTCACTCAGCTCGGGGCTGGACGGGATCCTGACCCCCCCGGTCCCTCCTCGGCCGTTCCAGCCAACCCCACCCGGGGCTGCCAGCCTGGGCAGAGGGCCGGCGAGGCCGCAGAGCCCACGGTGCCCCGTGGTGACGCCGGATGGAGCTGCCAGGCACCTCCTCTGCCAGCGCAGCCCCGGGGCTGCTCTCCGTGTCCTGCCAGCGGGTCTCCGCAGCCGGCACCGTCCCCACAACTCCAGCGAGACGCCCAGGTGCCGGCGGACGGGGCTGAGATATCAACCTGTCCCCGGGTGAGCTGGCAAGGGCAGCGTCACCCGTTGTGTCTGCTCCGACACGGCGCCGGCTGCTCCCCGCTGCCTTGGGGCTACTCACCGCCGCAAAGTCGCCGGGGCCGCACTGCTCGCCCCGGTAGCTGCAGCTCAGCAGCATGTCCTCCAGCTGGTGGCAAGTGCGGTTAAAAAACCCGTACAAATTTAGGGGCTCATCCTCATCCCCGGGGCCGGGCTGCGCCGGGGTGAAGCCCAGCTCCATCCCGGGCTCGTAGTCGACCAGGGGGGCCAGGTAGAGCAGGTCCTCGTGGCTGAGCTGCGAGACCCGCACACGGTTGATGTTGCAGAAGGTGACGGCGGGGAAGGTCATCTCGGGGCTGTCCTCCTCGCTGAGCAGCGTGACGTGGTGGTACTCCAGGTAGTAGACGATGCGGTCGGCCACCTGGTAGAGGAAGACGGAGAGGGAGAGGAGGAAGGCCAGCGCCCAGAGTGCCTGCCGAGCGCCCAGGCTGCCCTCCACGAAGATGTGGCTCAGCCCGTGCAGCGTGCAGCTGCTGGCAAAGGCCACAAAGTCCGTGGCTGCCCCCGCGTCCTCCTCCTCCTCCTCTTCATCCTCCTCCTGCCCGTACAGGAACTCGTCTGCTCCATCCTCTCCCCTCCCAGCGTCTGCAGCATCTTGTGGTCTTTCCTCACTGGCGAATGAGATGGTGCAGAATATCTGGAGAGGCATCGTCCAGTGTGGGGGTCCCGGCTCCGGCGTGGGGGTCCCGGCTCCAGCGTGGGGGTCCCAGCTCTGGTGTGGGGGTCCTGGCCCCTGCTCTGCCACAGCCTGGGGGTCGGCAGTGGGTCTGTTCTTCAGGGTGTGGGTGAGAGGGGCTGGATGGGAGCGGGGAAGGAGGAAGGGCCAAGTTCAAAGAGAAATGGAGAAGGAGAAAGGAGCGAGAGGTGAGCGGAGGGAGGGAGAGGAGCAGAGGGATGCTTGGAGGGGACGGAGAGAGGAGGGTATATGAGGAGCAGAGAGGAGGAGAGGAGGAGCGAGGGGCGGTTCTGCGGGCTCCCCAGGTCCCCCGGGACCGGCCGGCTGCGGCTGGCAGGATGGAGCAGAAACGTCACCGGCTCCAGAAGCACCGACAACGTGTTGGGAGATCCCGGTGCTGCCCCGGGGGGGTCCAAGGGTCTTCTGTGTGCGGCGAACACGGGGGTGCAGGGGGGTGCGTGGGCCTGCTGCGTGCCCACGCCGCGTCCTCCCTCCTGGCTGCGGGGCAGC